GTTCAATCATATAGATCTCAGGGACATGTGTTCAGATAGCTCATCCGTAGATGGCCCCGAATACTTAGGTGAATACTTCGTTCGGAGCACCTCTGCGTCAAATAATTTCTGTCTCTTCTTTCGGCCCTGTTTCTGCGTGAAACGCAACTTTGTTTCGCTTTCTCAGCGCGGACGAGCTGAGAGTCCGGTGGGACAAAAAACTTCTCAAACCATCCGAGTGATAAGAGCTCTATGCTCTTCTAGAGTTCTGTTTCGCCGGTGTGATCCCTTATACCTTGGCGAGCAGCAAGTGTCTTTTGAATATTCGAGATTGTAATTCCAGTAGATAAAAACCGTACTTCTCAGCGCTCGTACTCGCAGCTGGGTGCATCGATCAGCTGTCGCCTAGAATAGAGTACATAGGCTCGGCGCGGCCCGACGAGGCGTTCTTGATGCCATGACCGGAGTACGCTATCATTCGTTGCATACAATGTATATCTCGGAGGCCATGAATGAAGCCGACCCTTGTCTGCTGTAGCTAATTGCGCCATCAACCGGAAACTAATCGTCGCTTCTGCGAGCAAAACCTTCGTGCTTCATCCGCCGCGTCCTCGAAGCATGGACATCGTCCGAGACTCGCTGCCTTTGCCTCCTCAATATTCGACAATTATCGATCGATGAGCTAGGTCCGCGAACTTGGCCTTTTCGTTCGAAGACAAGAATAGAATTAGCGAATTCGATCTCATCGATGGGATGAATTTCCATGACTGAGCGTATTCCAGAGGAGGTGATAGATTTGTGTGATACCTCCTAAAATCTCAAGTACATAGGTATTGGAGTAGCATTGGTGGTGCATGACATGAACGGGATGTGTTGGCGGTTAGAGATCAACGTTCGAAAACCGGATTGAATGAATGGTGGCAAACTTTCCGAAAGAGAAGTATATAACTCGAGCTTTCTGACTTTCCAGAGTCTTCCTCCTCCTCGTCATCATTCGACCCTCGAGCCGACTCAAGAATCGCGTAGGCTGCCACGGGAGCAGACAAACGAACAGACGGCTCGGCAACCAGAGGCTAGCCGGAGGCACGAGGATGTTAAACTAATGGGCAGTATACGTGATCTTTTAGTCCAGATAGAAGGAAAACACATGCAGAAGAAACTACAGGGTAGCGAACGAGCAAGAAATCCAGAGATCGATCCTGAGCGTGACGGAGCAAGTAAGCGACCGACCGACAGAGGAACTGACTCTTAGGCAGACAGACGGTCGAGCAGCCTTACCTATCGACAGCTCGTGTATTTAAATATGGTGACGAAGGTATATCATAACGAGCTTAAATGATTTGGGTGACGAACGCAGTATATGCAGCAGCCGAATAATGGATTGATGTGCTGGGGGGGGGGGAGTTTTCGATTCGCCTCCGCTCTCATGATGGACCAGCATCATATGTTCGAACTGTCGCAATTCAATGACCCGAAGCAGAGAGACAGATTCAAAGAGGCTCGAGGGAGGTAGGGGAATATTCTGAGCGAGGGGCATTCTAAGCAAAAAAAGGGAGAGATTTCCTTGAGTGTGAGAGGAAGGTCTTATTGAGAGAGGGGGAGCAGATACGTGTTTCCATGAGCAAGGGTGAGGATAGAAAATGATGCAAGACGAATGGCGCGACGAAAGAGAAGAACGAAGATTCGCGAAAAATCGGGAAAGAGAACAAGTCGAGCAAGAGAGATACGACAGAATGGAAAGAACGTACAGAGAGAGGAGCCGCTGGCCATAAACGCGGTCCCGAGGAGAATTCGCACAGCCGATTGGGCACTATTTAAATCTATGATAGTAGAATTTTGGCGATAGCGAGTAGGTTTTGTACGCATTTAAGGGAAGGAAGAGAAGAATGAGTAGAGGGAGTGAGCGAGCAAGCAAGCGAGCGAGACGAAAGAAACAGTGATGATATGTGTCGATTTACTTTTCTAATCCCCGAAGCCGATCCCCAGCCAGCGTGAAGAGTTTTATCGCGATAACAGTCTCACAGAGCAATCATGGCAATCCGACAATGGGGGACTGTTACGAGAAGCGGAGAGGAGGACGATGGATCATTTCATGATTGTCTACTCAAGCATCGCCATCGAGAGCAGCGGCAGCAACAAGAAGAATCTACATGAATTCAGCGAGCATTTCTCTTCGATGTCGAAATTCGGTCCTCATGTGCGTTTTCGAGTATCTCGATTGAGATGCACGCATATATATACCCGACGATGATCGGGAACACTCATCTCCAGAGGGGCGTGGGCTCCAACGTCAGCCAACGGTTATTACGCGCGAGCCTCGGGCCTCCACAGACGAGAGTTTTGCTGCCGCTGCCGCTGTTGAATTCATTCGATATATATCTCACAGTAGAGGTAACCAAACGTCGTCATACAGTTGCCGTGGACACTTGTACACCCGATAGGGAGGGACTAGGTAGCGGAAAGAGAGAACCTGAAAGCTTAACTCTTCTATTCGACCTTGATCTATTTATATTCATATATTCTGTACAATTATGTATTTATATGACAATCTAGGTTCTTCAAATTTCGAACAATTAAAGTGAGATGAAACTGTATTGTGCCGCTGAGAGTCCCGAGTTGGGTCGGAACACGCTTGATGCCTACGCTCCACCGTCTCCGTCGCAGATTTTTCGCTGGGTCGGAGCCGTGGCTGCATGCACATCGAGTTCCGATGCTAAGTGCCAAATGGCGCCCTGACAGTTGAAGTGTGATATGTTGTAAGACATCGGAGCTGCCACCCACCGTATGTACTTTTGGAAAGTTTTTCGTTAGTATCCTCAATCGAGAGGATAAGGCTGAAAGGCGTATTCGATCGTTGGGGTCTCCTCAGGCACAGAAGGAAAGTCTGAAAACTCTCGAGTTCTCGAGTCATGTTGCTGAAGCCCTTTATCGATACGAGAATGTGATTCAAAATATTTGCGAGAGATAATTCTTTGGACTGCCTCGAAAGAGAAGACTATTGGGAGACCCGAACGTTCGTTTCCGGTTAAGTTGGACAGATTGTAAACGTTTGTTGTTCGGCGGGCACATTTGGAGGCGAGAGAGAACTTTGTGATTCAACCTCATCAGCTGTGTGCATTACTGGAACTCTGAACTTGATGAAGACAAACCGACGGTAAGCCGCAGAATATCATCATCATCATGGCGCTTAATAAGATGGACTCATCAGAAAATCGACTGAGTTGACTGATAAATACCGAATTTTCGCACATTTGTTTTTTCTTCACGTCGAAGAAACATGCGGGGAGAGCGAGACTACAGGAGATGATGCTGACGAAATTTTCGAGCGCTGTATGGGCTGAGAGAGAAGAAAGTATCGGGAAACAGAAAATACGTAACCGAAATCGGAAGGTTGTTCTCTTTCTGGTTTTTGAACGGTCACCTTGAACGGTTTTCACCTGTTGAATTGTTTACCGAGAAAAGTTACATTTCCGAATCTTCGTCCCAAAACGAGGCTGCCGAGAAAAAAAGTCCCCAATCTCAGAGGAATAAGCGAAGCTCTGACTTCGGCAGTGAGAACCGTTCTTTCTTTCGTGAAAGACATCAATGATTCAACCAATTGGAACGAAGAGCAGTGCTACTCTATATCAACTCACAAAACCAGCATCGCTATTATTGCTATATATAATGATGTATCAATTACCGTATTCTCATATCCTCCGCCGAGGTGGAAGTTGACCCCATGAATCCTTACATTTTGTGAAATCATTTTATCAATCCATGAAATAAAGAGAACCAATTTAAACAATTCATAATAGATCGCACTGATTCTAACCGACCTAATAATCTGACCGGAATATAGTCTGACTCTGTGGAGACCGCGTCGCGACTAACGAAGTCAGAGCGAGATGTCCCCTGCGCGTTTCTGCCCCCGACCGGGTGAACGATGGAGAGAAACAACTCCGGCCAACCAGTGAAAAGCATGCGACCGGTTGTTTTCTCTCCCTTCAGTGACATGGTGCGTGTGTCCGGAGGGAGAGGTAGGGGGAAGCTCATGCTGCCGCACGCTGCTTCGACGAGCTGGACGACCTGATCTACACATGTGTTTATCGAGGGGAGCAGACGCATGATTTTTGGGATAAATTCTTACTCTTCGCGCTTAGGAATGGTCGGAGCCCTATCGGCCTATCGGTCATTTCTTGCATGACTCTCCGGCGAGAGGATGTTCGCCGTCGGGAAATCTTGAGGACGCTCTTCCCGACACCCGTTCAGTGGAGTGGAACGCCTCATGCTTTCGAAGGCTCTGCTATTCCTTCTCCCGACCGCTCAGTATTCATTTCTAGTTTGCGTTTAGTTCGCGATAGTTACTCGTGGCGAGGCTCCCTTTAGGCGGAACAACGCCGGTCTCGTTGACAATGAAACGACGAGTTGCAGCACACGGACACTTCGCTCACATACGTCTTTTGATAGATTTTTCTCTCGAGTCGAGTCCCATCTTTGAAGTTCCCAAACTTGAAAACAGTGAAAAGAGAGCATTCAAAGAAGTTTCTGTTAGTGGTAGTTTTCTGTTGATTCTGTGAAGTTGTCGGCGGCCACGGTGGCGACTCGGATGGTGGGTTCTGGCCGAGTTAGACTCCGTCACACAGTCCATTCCCATACTTTCTGTTTAGCTTTGAAGTCGGTCTCGGTGGCTCTTAATTCTTCAAATAAGTCACGAATACATCGTTTCAATGGAAGCATCGATCTTCGAACCTACCAATGGATGACAATGTTTGAACGTAGATGTAATGATTTCGAGTGCGACCGTTTCAAAATTTCAGAAAATAGTTTGCGCATCTTTCGCTTCTTCACGAGAAGAGTAGCTGATCACGATCAGTCGAGTTCCGAAGGAAGAATAGTTATTATTGTCGAACTCGATTCCGTTCGCTTGAGAGGGCATTGCGCGAAATCCCATTCGATGACTGGATAGGACAAACAGCGAACACCACGCGCCCGGATAAAAACAGCGAACTTCACGATCGTCTCTACAGCAGAACGAGAAATCACAAACCCTGAACATGAAGCCCGATAGTCAATGACTAAAAAAACTGTACCTTGACCCTTCGACGGGAAAATATCGTCGTCGTCGTCTTCATCACGATTCCTCCTCATTGCTCTTCACGCTGAAAGAGTGGCAATCTTGAACGAACCATAATAACGGCTTCTTTCCTAGTTATCGTCAGACCGTCGATTTTGTGCTTGATTGCATCCATATATTCGCTAAACAATAGATTCATTGCGACCGCCATAGGAGCTGGTTACAATTCGAAACATTTGTAGCAACTTTCTGCCAGAATAAATGACGTCAGCTAGAGCGTTCCGACCGGTGGGCTGAAATTAGCATCACGATTTTCACTCAACCATCTACTCTCATGTATGTATGTCGGCTGCTTCTCACTCGTAGCGGCTGCAGCTTTTGTAGTACTAGCCCGTAGAGACACCGAATCGAACCCATCTGAGCGAGCGTGGGAGCCCGCTGATGAGAAACCTGGGATTCCGATTCGAGATGAGCAAGTGGGTTTTGAGGATCCTCAGCACTGTCCCTTTTCTCGATTATGGGCATGCTCCAAGCATGCTCAAATCCATATCAATCCTCAAGAGTATCAGACAATGCGTGCGCAATTCGCGGCACCCCCCGAATCTATTCACGATGGTGCCCAGCATTACCAACGCAGCTTTCGTACGTCTGGAGCAGAGTGTTACGTATTGATTGTCTTGCTTCGATTCGGGGTTCGAGTGGCTCACGAGTCAGCAACCACGGCGTCAGACAACAGAAACAACACCGTCGAAAACGAGCACTTTCTGTTGTTACTCTGGCTTTCCTTGCTCAATAATTTGGCCCCCTCTCGCAGCTTCGCATTCTGGATAGCTAGCTTGCTAGCCAACCAGCCTACCAAACAACCAACCGAGCCACCGACCAAGCAACCAACGACGTCGAAATAGACAGCCGACGTCTGGAGTGGTTGGGCGAGCTAGTCGGTTGCGCTTGAATTCGACTTCTGGAGAGAAAACGTGATGAAGGCCAAGTTCATTTCTAGTTGAGCGACATTCGAAATTTCGGAGGTCTCACAGCATTGGAAAAACCTGATGATCATTCTCGCCGGAGCTGCCGTCGCAGTCCGCCGCGGCAACCGCTGTTGAACCGTCGTCGCGTCGAAGCCGCCACCACCGTCAGGCAGTGAGACTGCCCGCCCGCCTGCTTGCCTGCCCCTTCGGTTGCCGATCCGACGGCCCTCGGCCCCACGCCAACAGCGTCGCGGTCGGTGACAATGACGATGGCAAACAAGGGTCTACCTGCCCTTGTGTCCCCATCTGCACGCCCCTTTTCTCCCGAGTCTTCCTTTCTGCCTGCCAGCGAGTCCGCATATTCTTTGCCTAACCGTACTCGATACATGGTGATGCTATCGTTCTCGACCGACCGACTACTGTTGCGGTCCTACGCCGCAGCCGCCTCGGTGTATTTCTTCTTCCGTTCTTCCTTCTACTTGCTCTCTCTGCCTGCCTGCCAGCTCGCTTGTCTGCCCAGACAGCAACCGACCAGTCAGCCAGTCTGTCAGTCAGCCACCGAGCCAGTCAGCCAGCCCGCCAGCTAGCGAGCCCGACTGCTTCCCCGTCTGTCTATGTTGTGTGTTCGCGAGCTCGTGGAGAAGTCTGTCTGTTGGTAACAACGGCAGCGGCGGTGGCGGCGGTGGTGGTGGCGGCGGCAACGAGTCCAGCGGCGGTGGTTGTTGCGAGTTGCGAAGGCCTTTCATCGGGCGCAGAGCCCTCTGGTGATGCTCATCGGAGTTGATATTTCTGTACGGATGCCGATCGACGGCGGCTGCGGCGACGATCGGGTCCTTCGGTGGCGTTGGCTACGCAAAGCGGGTGTCCGAACTTCGGGGAAACATTATTGAAACCTCAGGCCTCACGGAGGGTTCGTCACAACGATGGCGCGTGGTAATCATCCAATAAAGCCAAGAGAATTTTTTTCTCGTTCAAACGGCGAGGGTACGAGATGGGAGAACTCATGCCCGGGTGATCGCTGGTTCGAGCCTGAGCCACGGATGAAGAATCCGCGGCCGACGTATCATTAATCATTCCATGGGTAGAGTATAACATTGTTGCGCTTTCTCGGCGTGATTGGAAGGACACCGATGGGCGACTGCAATGCATGCGTTCCGATTTGCATTTACGATGCCGAGTGGGAGAGAACGTGGATGGTATCCACCTGATCCAGGGAAGAATCGTGGCCGAATCTCCGCAAAAAGCATCGATGGCCCGCTCGTGAGTCAGAGAGCACCCCAGAGTCCCATCGTGACACATTTCCGATTTGAGGAGACTCCGGATATCGTCGTTTCTAGCGACTCCACGACGGAGCCAGACAAGCCTCAAAATTCGAGCTTCCGACTCCAGTTCATTCTGCATCTCCGATTCCGAAATAAGGAGTATGATCCCAAGACATCCATCTCGGGTTCAGCAAGAAGGTTCTAAAGGTTGTTCGTGGCACCTTGCTTTCTCTCAGGCGGCCTTTAGAGGCGGGAAGGTGAAAAAACGCTCAGACCGATTTCGACCGCTTATTACGGCTTGCGTGCGCTTCCTTCGAGGACAGCAGTGAGAGTAATTCACACATTGGATCCGATCGACCTGGCATGTAAGGCGGAATCCTCCCGGAGCATCGATCCAGAACATGGATTAAATTCATTTTGAAAAATAATCAACGGATAGTTCCGACTCAGGGAGACGCGTTAGCATTTCGAAACATGCAGTTGATTTCCGTCCGTGGAGGAGGAGGGAGCGAAAGACGCGGAACGCCCGCGAAGCCCGTGAGCTGCGGGTCCGCCGACTCGAGGCCTGGTGTTGCGAAACGCCGAGAGAGATCGATACTCTTGAACTTTTCGCTGATCGGGAACTCGACCGTCTGCGACCACCTGTCGTTGTTCAATAATAATCTCGACACATCTTATCGGTCGCAAGAGATGTTCCCGGAAAGGGAGTCAAGCCGTTCGTGAGTAGAATGTTTCAACTGCGAGCGAGCATCATGCACGGCTCTTACGCGCGTCCGTCACAGTTCACTAAATATCTGTTCGCTGGATGCCGCTTGCTTGAATACGGATCCCCGCAGAATCTCTACTTATTGGAAGCCACTTCCGTATGAATCCTCTGAGTTAGCGGGGCGATGATTTGGAGCCGTCTCGTCCGGAAGGCCTCCAGTCGCGTTCACACCGCAATGCGACGTAGATCTCCCGAAACAAAACGGACTGAACGTGTCGGAGTCTTGCTGGTATGAAATCGAATCTTCGCTTCCGTACAGACTCAATGCTAGCATGTCCAGCCAGAGCGTCCTCTCTCTCTGCACTCGTGCTTGTCGCCGGTGAAGTCCAACCGACCTCCATCGCATTGATTCATGTTCGATGCTCTCGAACTACGTCCCGCGACCCCTTCCCCTCGCTTTCGCACAAGTCAAATACTCATAAGTAATCAGCTCCAAATTTATTCGAAATCTCTAGTCTCATTTTCTTTTTCGAAGCCGTACGGGTGATCCCTACCCTCATTGAAGATCCAATCCGATGTTTTTCGACGCTGATTATCCGCTTCTTGGGTCGACCTATGAAAATTGATGTGTGGTCCTCGCTGATAGCTTCAGGTAATTTTTCAACTGGTCTGGAACGTCTGATGTGTTCTGAATTCAGGATTGCGGCTCATACACGTGACGAGTTGTATAGTCTGGTATAGCTCCCTATCTCGGGACTCTACAATACTAATAAATATTGAGGTCATTGTAAAAATAATGAGGTTATTCCCGTACATGCTGCCGCTGCATAATCTTAAAGTTCACCATTCACGGGGAAACTCTGTAAGCTACCTCGACTTAAGAGCTCCTCGAGCGGCCCCGTTATGATAGTGAACTAGACTGCTTGAAATCTGTCTAAACTAAAGTCAACTTCTCCGCTGATTCAACTCAGTCAGTCAGATTCTCGGTACGAAAGAAGAGAAAATCAATGCACCATGATTCAAAGCTGCGACAGCATCCGCTTCTGGCCGATATCGATCCCAGAGCCTCTCACTTCCGTTGTCTTTCTTTGACAAAAAGAATTTGAAGATCCTATCCTCTGTCACATTACGTCGTCTCGTTCAACTTCGTTCTCGCTCGTCACTCACATCGCAGCAATTCATTAAGATACCCTAAGTCACGTATAGTATAGCTATGGCAACCCTGTATCCTTTGTATGCTCTCATCTAAATGCCTCTGGCGGTTGTTAGGACACCTGCCCTGACACGTGAACTGAGTGAGAGGAATCTTCGTCTGTCACAAATCCTTTGGAACCAGAGACGCTCACACATGGGAGCGTAACGAAAAAAAACTCTCATTCAGAATGGATTTCCTCACGAAAAAAACTCGTCCTCCGTCCGCACGGACAGCTCGGAACATTTAAGAAACATGTTGGAGTTTCAACCTTGCCCATGAAATTCTCTCAGAGCGAGGCTTTCGCATTCGCCTCGATGACTTTCCGCCGTTTGATTGGCGGCAGATGGCTCTCGGCAGTATCGTACATGCTGCTGGATGTCCGCGGAACCGCCGGAGACTCTTCAACAGATGGAGCACGTACGGAAACGGCAACGTCGGCGAGAGCTTCTTTCTGCTTGATGCTGAGTTGTTTTTCATGAGGACTTGCCTCTCTTTTATGAGGATGCACTTTTCACACTCACAGTCCTTGAATGGACATGATTTTTTATGGCCTTTCACAGCCACTTTGAAGTCGTGATTTCGGCAACGAGCGCAGTTCGGTTTCCGGCTCATCACGGCCTGTTCCTCGGCATCCAACAGTTTCGCGGCGGCGGCGGCGGCCGCAGCAGCAGCCGCTGAGGTCAATGTTGCGTCGTGTGTAGTCGACGAGCACTCTGGTTGCATGTTGTACGGTGTGTAGGGAGTTTCAGCGATGCTGACATTGCACGAGCGCGCGAGCTCGTCGAGCTGCGATGCAAGAGGGATCTCCGGCGGCATTCTGGCCATGTAGTCCGGATACTGGATTGATGGCATCGGGTATGCAGGAAGCTGTCTCTGATGCTGCTGACTCATCGCGCGGAAGAGCTCCATGCGCTGGACTTCGTAGAGATAGTTTGAGGGAGCGCCCGGAAACAGAGCCGGCCACATTGTGTCGGACGGATAGCTCAAGATTGATTCCGGAACCGATGCACATACACGCGGCACCGTGGAAATGTACGTGTCGCCAGCGCTGGTGGATGCCTTCCGCTGGCTGTCCTCATCATCAATTATATTGATCACCGAGCCCGGTATTTGCACTTCGTATCGAGACATGTCGTCTCGGGAATCGATGATGGAGTCGCCGAAATAATTTTTTCCCATAAGCCTCCGGAGCTGATCGGTGAATGCTTGGCTACTCTTTTAGTGGCAGTATGTCCCTAGAAAAAAAATAGGTTTTCCTCTTCGCAGCACAGATGTTCATTGCAACACAGTAGACGTTTTTGAGCTGATTCGCGAGCAAGCCAGCGGCTCGCGAGCCGACCAGCCAACCAGCCAGCCAGCAAGCGAGTCAACGAGCAAGCCATCAGTCAGTCAGTCAGTCCGGTCGAGTAGATCTAGCTGGCTAGGACTTGAAACGACATTCGCGCTCGCAGGGCAGGCAGCGATATGATTGCAGGGGATGACACCTGACGGCAGGACGCACTTGCGAACGTGCCCTTGGCCAACGAATCAGAGAAAAGCTCAGTGCAAATCCACATACCTGACAAAACCATTGACACAAGCTGAAGTTGCGTACTATTTCTGAATAACGTGGTTAGCCTCAGACGAGCGAAGCGAGAGAGAGAACCGACTGACCGTAAACACACCGCCGACTGAAGACTAGATTGGTCGCAAGCAGGCCGCCAGTGGAAAGGGTCGACACCATCACAGCAGAGCGCGTTTCGTAACCATATTCTCCACCCGTCTAGCCGCTGTAGCGGAGAGAGCTCGTCTACGGGACCGTGTTCTTGAATGAAAATATAACAACTGCTGAGAACAAAGTTACTGGAACCCGCCTGAGAAACGATATATTCTCGGCCGGCCATGGCTCCTTGTGCAGCATCCTCGGTGAGGATCCCAATGCGCGACGGCGAACTCGCTCAAGGATCATGATGGCCGAGAGAGTCGCTGATATTTCGACACCCGGTCGGAGCCCGGATCGATCCCCGGCGGAGACTAAATGCCAAATTTGAATCTTGAACCTCAGCATGTGTCGAAACAGTTCCTCGCCGGAGCGCGACATGTTTCCGTTCTCTCGCCCCATCGCCGTCGGAGTCGACGACACGATATCCGTACAAAATATACCCGAGGAACGCAATTGAGCCAAATCATGCAGGATCGATCCAGGAAAGTCTCGCTCAGGGAACATCATCTTACATGTCGTACACATCTTTCGCAAATCATTCCGGAGCGAGCTCTCGCGAGAGGATTTGGGCACGGAGCTCGCGCACAGAGAAGGTGCCATCCCAGACGATGGTTGAGGTAGAAACACACCGCGAGACTTGTCGAATGAATCCTAGGAATTCAGCTCAACGGTCTCTAAGTTTGGGAGATGGGAGAGCACGATTGAAGAATTTCTTTGAGCGGGACTCCGGGCGAATCAGGACAACGTCGCCTCATCCGTATGAAATCATGCTTTCTGGGGGAAGCCTATCGGATGCTTACGAATGGGTGAACTTCTCGGAATTTCGGTTCCATAAAACTTATCGACGAGATATACAGTCCCGCTAATGAGGAACATTTCGGTCTTGGGCCCCGTGCTGAGAATAGGCTGCGTTCTCGTCGAGGCCGTTGAAGACACTACCCAATCTGAGAAGTCTCCTATGTGCTGGACTCCTGGGTAGTCATGAGTCTCAGGACATAGGCTTCACAAAAGAGCTCATAGACGATTCGCCGAGGGTTTTCAATATCATCAAGAAGAAAATCTGCGGGGAGCATGGGATCCTCGGTTCCTGATCGCGTATCTAGCGAGGGAACCGCGCCAATTGAATGGAAAACTTCGGGCACCGAAAAGCTGCCGATGGCAATGCATCAGAGGGAGCGATCTTGAACGAATTTATTCCTGCCATCGTATCTCTCGATGAGGCTGACAAGAAGAGAGCGAACTCACTTCACGCTGAGAAGCTAGTGAAGTCGGGAGATGTATTCAACTGTAAGATAGCATCAACGAACTCCGTACGGATCAGAAGTTTGATGGGATGCTGGTCCGAATTCGAGGTACCCAGTATCGCGGCCGGAAAGCGTGTATCGTCACCACGCGCGCAGCAAGAGATCGGATTCACGAATGATCCGAAATCGTTGAGCATTCACTTCGAGATTGAAACCGCGAAGAATCCGAATTCGGCCGAGCGTTTTCAATCATATCCTGATCGCATCCAGAATCTAGAATCATTCGGAATCCGTAATTTTCAGCGAGTTGCAGGATGATCACACACGCTGACATCAGTCACCGATGCACCTCCTTCGATGAGCTCGGCGATACCGGGAACAATTAAGTCTGCGGGCATGGCAATGAAAATGTGGCATTATCCGCATGTTCGGACAGCTCCCCGTCTAATTGATTCAGAATTCGAACACCTCTTGACCCTAGAACCGGCTCAAATTATGATACGATTTCTATTACTCATTGGAACTTGATGCCCCGGGTTTTTTATGTCTTCGATCCGGCCCCATTATTGAGGAAATCATGCCACGCATCATGATTTCCCCAGGGAACGTCAGGTAAGCTCAAGGAATCGGCCCGGTCGGTCATTCGCGGAATGACATAGCAGAAGCCTGATATTGCCCGAATTGGTGTAACCTCGGACTTCTTCCTCGTAGACGGTTCGAGTGGACGAGCCGTGGCGAGCAAGGAAAGCCAAGACTCATATTTCACTTCACCTGCTCGGTCGCAGCGTTCGTTCCTCGGAGGTCACGATTCGATACAGAAGATCGGACGAAGCATCAGACTCTCGGCGACACATTTTCGCGTATACGGTTAGCGCTGCTGAACAGCTGGAGGATTTGGGGCCCGCGCAAATCACGAAGGCGCGACACTGACCCACGTTTCATCTCTCGAGAGGGTCTCATGTAGAGACCCGGATCAAGGTATCTGTGGCCCGTACATGTGGCAGTTTGGCTTCCCCATGATTGTGAGAGCTCGATGGAGAACACATGTAGATATTTTCCGTCTGTAGATCGAGCAGACGCTACTACGATCTCGACACCTGTCTGAGAAATGTTTTCTTTCATTATATGGGGTATATGCGAGCTTGACCTTCCTTGTTATTTGACAGGAAGGATTCAATAACGTTATACCGGGCCCAGCAATATCCCAGATGTTCATGGTTTGCTTGTCTTCTCCTCTCATTTGATGAGGAAACTTTTTACTTGATATGATGGGCGGAGTCATCCATCCCATCGCATCTGTACGGCGACCTGTATCCTTGATGAGTCCGACTCGTTTTCGATGCAGGATCCTGAGTCGTAAGACTCGTATAACCCCACAGCTTGAGGCTGGGGAAACACATCGGAAGTGCCTTCTTCCAGAGTTATTCTTCTGCAAGTGTTCGTATCAACTTCCTCCATATATGGTCTATCAAGTCAAGCATCTCGATGAAGTTTCTCTCTGCTTCACATCGCTCCTCAGCCCTCCGTGAGAACCTTCATCATAGTTTCCGCCATTTGTCAAGGTCAACCCGGAAAATCGGGTTTCAAGGGACCCGCGCGCGCTCGCGTTTGTCAGTATTCAAGTACCTATGTACAAGATAGGAGAACTACAATCAAGCGGACGATTCCCCCATCTTCCTCGCGAGCGATCTACTCCCGATGAGTAAGCACCGCGAACTTGCTTCTCGTTGGAATTTAACGTATCTTCCTAACATTCTCGCCAGGGGCAGTCTATCAGCCACGACATACCATTTCATGAGAAACCCCCGAGACTGAATCAGCCAGAGCCGGTAGCGCCCTCGGCAGTACCGTGTCATGGGACGTTGAAACGTCCCTTGATTTTTTGTTTTCCAGGATTTCATTCGCTTCTTTCCGTTCTCATATGAGGAAATCTTGGAGTGACAAATCGCAGACTCGTGGGGTATATCACTGGCACTATAAGCATTCGTCACACTCATCGGCGAGCTTTTATCGCGTCCGGATGTGATGTGAGAAGAAGAACAGAGTCGGAATCGTGTGGTACGAAAGAATCCTGCCCTCCCTAGGCGACGCTTCCGTTTCTGTAGACTAAGAGTCCTCGACCTCATGATGAATCACGATCAATCGATAGGCATCGTGACTCGTAATCGCTGTTCGCCGGATGTGGGAACCCTGCTCCCGATTCCCTCAGCCCCACCCATCACTGCGCAACTGTAGCCCTTACATTCCACTAGAAGGCTGAAGCTAAAAATTGTGCATTTTCCGGTCCTGATCATAAGTAGAGGTAGTGCACCGAGAGAACAGAGCGAGCCCGTCGCTGTGATCGAGGCGGTTAATCCTCCTGTGTCTATGTCTATGTTTATTTTTACTTAGCGTCGAAATCATTTATGCAAATGACGAAATTCATGCTCATCCACCGAAGCTCATCGTATCAACCCAATGCATACGCTGAATATTATGGAGAGGGATGTTCTTTCATGCTCTTTCTCGCTAAATTTTATTGCATGTCTGGCTGGCGACGGAAATGTCTTCAGGAGCCTTCCGGATTTCATGATTTCTCGCTTTGATCGTCTCCCATGGATTTGATATCATTAGACATCGACTTGCTGAAAATCCGTCGAGTATTTGACGAATTCTAGCCCCGCATTATTCCGTCGATAACTTGATAAATTCTAGCCCCGTGGAAATTCGTCGATTTCTCGATGAGTTCTAGCCCCGCGAAATGTTCCAAAACGCGCTTCATAATGACGGAGCTCTCCTCGAGATACCTTCATCCTTTCCAGAGACATTTTCACGTTTGAAGCGTCTCGTATCCGAGGCAACTGTCCGATCGATCATGAGACTCGAAGAATATTCGAAGATGTTTCTGAAATCCGGTTCTTTCCGATTTCCGGGCTTCTCATGAGCGGGCTCGATGAAACTGTTTGTGAGGGTCAGATTCCCTGGAAAGACTCCTTGACTCGTTTTTATATGATAATTTAAGAATCAGTGATCAATCCATC